AATCCGATGTGGAGTTTGAAGGGTCAGAACCCCCCCTCCCCCTCCTCGGACTCTTCGCAAATCGATTTAGGGTCAGATGGGTAAAAAAATCACTCCCCTCCCCGTCGAGCGCACAAAAATTCGATTTAGGGTCAGAAGGGTCAGAAAAAAATTCCTCCTCTCCTCCCCTTGGACTTCTCATAATGCGATGAAGAGTCAGAAGAGTCAGAAAAAATCTCCCTCTTGCATCCTCAACAAAGAACCCAAAATTCCCCCCTACACATCGCACCCTCAACTATGTGATTTGGGATCAGAAGGGTCAGAAAAAAAATTCCCCTCGCCCACCGGATCCGCCACAATTCGATTTGAGGTCTGAAGGGTCGGAAACAAATTCCTTCCCCCGCCTTGGACTTACCACAATGCGATTAAGGGTCAGAAGTGTAAAAAAAATCTCTCGATTGCACCCTCAACTATCCGATTTAGGGTCACAAGATTAAAAAAAAATTTCCCTCCCCTTGAACTTCCCACAATGCGATTAAGGGTCAGAAGGGTCAAAAAAAATCTTCCTCCCCTCCCATCGCACCCTCCATTATCCGATTGAAGGTCAGATGAGCCAGAAAAAAAATTCCCTCCACCCTTGGACTTCCCACAATGCCATTATGCGTCAGAAAGTTTAAAAAAAATCTCCCATCGCACCCTCAACTATCCGATTTCGAGTCAGAAGGGTCAAGAAAAATTGCCGCCCCCCCTCGTACCCTTCACAATCCGATTGCAGGTCAGAAGGGGCAGAAAAAAATCCATTCCCCCTTGCATCCCAAACAAAGGAACCAACCCCCCCCCCCCACGCACCATCATCTATCTGATNCCCCTCGCCTTTCGGATCCACCACAATCAGATTTGGGGTCTGAAAGGTCGGAAAAAAAGCCCTCCCTCGGACTTTCGCAATTTGATTTAGGGTTAGAAGGGTCATGAAAAATTCCCTTTCCCCCTCTTGGGCTTCCCACAATGCGGTTAAGGCTCAGAAGGGACAGGAAAAAATCCCCTCCCCCTAGCATCCTCAACAAAGAACCCAAAATTCCCCCCTCTCCGTCGCACTCTCAACTATGTAATTTAGGGTCAGAAGGGTCAGAAAAAAAATTTCTTTTACCCCTTGGATCCTGTACAGTCCGATTTAGGGTCAGAATGGTCAAAAAAATCCCCCCTCCCCATACACTCAACTATCCAATTTAGGGTCAGAAGGATCAAAAAAAATTCCCCTGGCCCCTCAGATTGGCCACAAACAGATTTGGGATCTGAAGAGTCGGAAAAAAAGCCCACCCCCCTCGGACCTTGGCAATTTGATTTAGGGTTCGAAGGGTCATGAAAAATTCCCCCTCCCCCTCTTGGGCTTTTCGCAATGCGGTTAAGAGTCAGAAGGGTCAGAAGAGAATCCCCTCCTTCTTGCATCCTCATCAAAGAACCCAAAATTCCCCCCTTCCCATCGCACCCTCAACTATGTGATTTAGGGTCAGAAGGGTCAAAAAAATTCCCCCCCAAAAAAAATTCTTTTAATTGCAGAATTCGAAAGTTTTATTTAAAAAACTCAACCACTGAGGCGATATTGCTCAAAATCCAATGAGAACCAAGTTATGTGGAGACGCATCGATTATACAAAATTAATTCCAATCCCATCGTTACCTTAGGTAAAATGGTCGAATTTCTAGGACATTAAGGCTTTTTGCCATTTTTTTCAAGTTTTATGTGAATAAATTTTATGTCGAAAAAAAAATCGTTGGAATTTAATTTTATTAATTTCTTGATAAAAAAAAATCGAATTTTCAATTCTTGGTGGTTGGGGACGAATTCGACTTACCATGGAGGAAAAAAAAATGCGAATGAAATGATTTTTCTAGGTGAATGCAATGAATTTTGAAGAGATTGTCATTCCTTCACATGTTTTATGCAAATAACTAAGAAACTGCTGAGGCAATCGTCCTCATATACTCATGGTTTGAAGTTTTTTTTGACACTCATAGATTGAAAAAAAGATAATAATCACATCATTTCTTGGCATAAAATCTTTGAATTTTTGTCATTTTCACACATATTTCATGCGAATAACTAATAAACCACTGACACGGTCGCCTTCACACACTGATCACTCCTAAGTTACATGAACACGCATTGATTGAAATAAAAAAAAAAGAGAATGACATCATTTCTCCGGATGAAATAATTGAATTTCCAAGAAATCGTCATTTTTTCACATGTTTTATGCCAATAACTGCCAAACCGCTGAGGCGATCGATCTTATAATCTAATTAGTTCTAAGTTACATCAAAACGCATCGATTGAAAAAAAAATTCGAATCGCTTCATTTGTTCAGAAGATATTGTTGGACAAAATTTTGGTCACATACGTACTGTAACGTGTTATTTTTGTCTTTCGACCGTTCTGCGGTTTCATTTAAACATCCAGACGAGAAGTCACTGCGAAAGCGAAGCGAGAGTCAAAATCTAGATTTTTGTTCAACTATTTATTGAGTATCTTTTTGGTTTGTATTGAATCATTCCACTCCACCGTTCATCGGAGCACATCGGGGGATCTGGATGAGCCTAAACGAGGACTGGAATGAGATGCAAGAATTTAGATGCTGAAATTGGGTCTCGGAGCAACGGTTCTGCAGAGTCTGGGGTGGATCTGGAGTTTGAATATCCCCGCTGGTTGAGGAGTACGCAGGTTGGCCGTGTCGCGGCGCCAGCTACTGGAGCCGGAATTGGAGAGCTCGAGCGCCGAATGAATCTAGGCGAAAAAAATATTTTCGGTCCATTGTTAAAGGACCCGAAACATAAATTAATGGTTATTTATCATTATGCGGTTTGTCAGTAGTTAGAACTACATTTTTATCGCTTGATTTTATCCCTGTGGAATTGGAGGGAAAATTGGAAATCACGTGGTTGTCCGGTGTGGATTACGGTGGAGAGAGAGAGAGTTGACGTCGTCATCACTCTCCAATCAAAAGTCTCTTCGGTGAAAGTAATAGCCAATGAGAGGGCTGGATTTTCGGCAATCGAGAAAATGTGCCATCGAGCGTGCCGAGGAGATTACTTCTCGTTTGGATGGCGAGACTGACAGTTCGCAAGTTTTTCGTGAGTTATCAAAATTATTACTGTGTCCCGATGCCCGAATTCTCGTTGTCTCCGACATCTTGCTTTGACGATTTATTGGGAGTCCCAACTTTTTCCGGAGAATTTGTTGCTGAGACTTCTTCAGTTCTGGTGAGCGGTGGATCTAATTAATCGTTAATTTATTGATTGTAATAGAGAGCGGGATCTCGTAAAATTAGCTTTCTTTTGGACAGACGGTTTTCGTCCATGGCGAATGACGCCATTAGATTTTTGGCTTTCGGATTTTGACGAGATCTGGTTTCTCGCTCAGCGGAGCATTATAACGGTTTCGGGAAAAATTCAGTGAATCTCTTATTGTATCAAGTTACGAGTTTTTTTGAAATATTTATGTCGGATTCTTCCGATTGAAATTCAGTGTTTCAAACATTTGTCGTAAGTAGCAACTCTCGTTTCGCATTCACTTTGGAAAAATTCGGATATCCAAAGTGGAATTCTCGGGGCAATGTTTCAGCTTCAGGGAATTTTCGCATTATCGCTGTTCGTATATTACTTTATTTATTTAATTTAGAATTTTGGCATTACCGAACAGTGTAGGAATTATCGACGTGATTTGGAATTACAGCGTCTTTGTCGATGCTTGATTTCCGTATTTTTGTATCGTGTAGCCGTGACGTTGCGTTAGGCAGATTCACCGGCTTTGGTAATTGTTATTAGTATTTTTCGTGGTAATCTGAATCGCGTCCTTTGAGAATCAGACTACAATTTTGAATTATTGTTCTCGCAACAGTTTTCGTTGTTCTTTTTATCGATTCCTTTGTCGTGACATTCGACCTTGCAGTAACCCGGTTAGTTACTTTATTTTTTTTTGACTTCTTGATAGATTTTCCCATTTATTGACTTTCTTTACATTATCTTTGACTAGCATTTTATTAATTGACGGATGACGTTGAGGGAATTGATTTTATATCGAGTCATTAGATCGGTGTATGAATTTTGTGATTTTCTGATTGTGATTTAGAGCATAACGGAAAGAGAAATAATTCGAAAATAACGGGGTTTAATTAATTAGATAACTGATTCACATTTTGATACTGGAATTTTCTAGAAATTGATTAAATAATATTTCTCCCCGAAAGTCTGAATCTTCTTATCATTTATTAGTAATAAGGAACCCAGTCATTTCCGGGTAATTTTTATTGAGAGCGGATTTTGGAGAGTGGAGAGTGGAACCCAGCCGCCTCCGCGGTTGATCTGAGCTGTCGGCGATCGCTCTCTCATCGTTGTTTGTTTTATCGCTCGTTTGATTTCGTCTTCGATTTTGGTGAACGTTTCATACGTTCTGGCACCCAACCTTTGGTTTGTCGTTTGGGTCGCTGAGGGCTGCGTATCTATTATCTTCCGCAGAGGTAAGAAATACGTCACAGTACGTACACACACATACACACACACACATACACACACACATACAGACATGTCACCTCGCCTACGAACTGCAGGACCTTGTCGACGGTGGAGGGGCTTAAGGGATGTAACCAAAGCAAGAAGCAGTTCAAACCGAGGTATGTCCTTCTCAGGACATCTTGGGAGAGAAGCCCAACTCCGAAAGAGGCATGCAGGGTGGGCTCCCTACAACAGCCTCCCCCCAATGTCAAGGTGTTCATCGTGCCGATTTCTGGAAGGCGCGAGGGGTAGTTGGCGTCGCAAACGGTGGTCCCTGGGGCACCAGGTCACACCCTAGGTGTATTCAGTGGCCTTACTCCAACAGCCGGGGCTCTGTTCGGAGTGGACTGTTATACTTCCCTAGGTACTCGTGGGAACATGATGGATAATAAACTAAACACTCAAAACGAAGATAAGAAGCAGAACAACGTGGCTTAAAAAACTGGGCCAAGTGACGAGATCACATGAAAGAAGATGTGGGATCGGCATGAACAGCTCATAGCCGACCTGATCACCTACATGAAGGAGAAGAGGAGCATCAACGCTCACTGTCGAGAGATGGTGAACTCTATCAGCACCTCTGCCAAACGGCTCAGGCAGCTAGGTGGGCAAACAGGGCAGACTAGGCCATTGCCAGTGACGTCGGTACCCTTATTCTTAGTGAGAACGCGAACGCTTTCTGAAGGCACCGCCACGACGATGGCTTCTGAGCTTGAAGATGAGAGTTCGGCTTTCTCTGATACGACCAAGGCTTCCAGGACGAAACGGAAGTCGCGAGAGTCACCACCGACGGATACCAGGGACCTCAAGAAGAAGAAAAGGGAAGAGCGGGAGGCCGCTCACGCCCGGAGCAAAAGGGAAAATCCACCTGCAAAGTCCTCGGACTGGGAGCAGGTCAAAAGTAGAAAAGAGCGGCAGCAACCGAGGCTGCCAGAGAAGCCGCCGAAAAAGAAGGAGAGGCAGAAAAAACAGGGGAAATCAGCGGCGAGGCCAAACGCACTGATTTTTCGCCCAAAGGATAAGCAGCAGTACTCAGAGATGCTCAAAGTAGTGAAGCAACAGATACCTTCTGAGCAGGCTCGTGATCGCGTTGACAAGATCCGCAGAACGACCACTGGATATATGCCGATCATCGTGGCAAAGGACAAAGAGGACCAAGCTGAGGGCTTACGTAAAGCGATAGCTGAACTCCTAGGAGATGATGCTGATGTCCTTAGTAAAGGATCACAAGAAGACCTCGAGATCTAGGACCTTGATGAGCTGACCACGAAGGAGGAGGTGCTCAAGGCCCTGCAACTCGCAGCTGCGGTGGATTGTCAAATTCCCCTGGACGTCGTCAGGTCCTTGCGGAATGCCTTTGGAGGTACCCAGACGGCATCGGTGACGGCGGCGGCAACAGTCGCGAAGAATGTCTTGGGCGAACGAGGTAAGATTCGCATAGGATGGGTTAACTGCCGGATCCGAAGGGTGGATAGACTGGTCAAGTGCTTCAAGTGCTGGCACTATGGACACCTCGCCATCAAGTGCAAGAGTGAAGTGGACCGAGTAAAGCTCTGTACAAAGTGTGGAGAAGCTGGCCTCAAAGCTGCTGCCTGTGAGAAAGAAGCTCGTTGTGCCTTGTGCTCCGAGAAAGACCGAACGAAGAATTGTGCTCATATCGCTGGTAGCAGCAGATGCCCTATCTTCAGGGAAGCACTCCAGAGGATGAACAACAAACGGTAATGCGGATACTACAGCTGAACATCAATCATTGCGAGGCCGCACACGATCTGCTTATGCAGACGGTGCGGGAGCTGAAGAAAGATCTGGTGATTATCTCTTAGTCATACAGACACCTGGACACCCAACTCTGGGAGACGGATAAAAGTCGCAAGGCCGCTATCTGGTCTTGTGGCAAGTTTCCATTCCAGAGTGTTGCGAATACTGAGGAGACTGGTTTCGTGGTAACTAAGCTGGAAGGAATCCACTTTTATAGCTGGTACTCTCCACCGAGCCTGACGTTTGGCGAGTTCACAGACTTCCTGCACAGACTGACCGAGGACGCGAAGCAGCACTTTCCCGTGGCAATCGCCGGCGACGTCAATGCTTGGGCAGTCGACTGGGGAAGTAAAGAGACGAACACGAAGGGGCAAGCTGTACTGGAAGCAATGTCCTCGCTGGATGTGGTATTGCTGAACAGTGGCAATGAACCGACGTTCGTGAGGGGAGAGAGGAGCTCAATTGTGGATCTCACCTACGTGAGCAGCGCCCTCGCAAAAGGAAACTACTCATGGAAGGTAACCGACATCTACACTGCTAGTGATCATCGCGCGATACTCTGGGAAGTATACACCGGTAGGAGAATCGGACCAGCGCCAAAGAAGACCAATGCAATTGACTGGAAAGTGAGCACATTTGATCCGAGCTCATGCCTGGTTGCCTTCGACGACTGTCCAATCAGTGGCAGAAACGCTAAAGAGAAGACAGATGATATCATGAGGAGAGTGACTGAAGCCTGCGATGCTACGATGCCCAAGAAACAGGCCAGCAATCGGCGCCCACCAGTTTACTGGTGGAACACAACCATCACCGTCTTGCGGAAGGAGTGCAACGCAGCGAGGAGATCGTCCCAACGTGGCCGAAAGAAGTCAAATATTGAGGAATTGGCGATGCGATACAAGAAGGCAAGACGAAAGCTAAACAAAGCCATAAAGTGTAGCAAGAAGCAATCATGGAATGACTCCTTGCAGAAGTGGAAAGCGACACGTAGGGCCGGCCATACAAGGTCGTGATAACGCGACTTAACAGTCTGCCGATGCCATCGCCGACGTGTCCGGAACTCATAAAGAAAATTGTGGTGGTGCTGTTCCCGCAACAGCCAGAGCTGCATCGTGCTGTTGATCGAAGAGAAGATGTGATGGTTCCTCTAATAAACGAGGAAGAATTGATGAAGGCATGCAGTAGAGTGGGCAACACCAAGGCTCCTGGGCTGGATGGAGTTCCCAATGCTACGCTGAAATCAGTCATCCACGCGAAGCTGGAACTGTTCTTGGAGGCGTACAACGAGTGCCTCAAGGAGGGCGCCTTCCCTGACAAGTGGAAACAGCAGAGGCTTGTGTTGCTGCCGAAGGGGAAAAAGCCACTGGACGAACCGTCATCATACCGTCCCCTCTGTATGCTCGACACTGCAGGCAAGATCTTCGAACGCATCGTCCATAGGAGAATAGAAGCAGCTATCGAACCGCTGTTAGCCGAAAACCAGTACAGTTTTCGGAGAGGCCGATCCACGCTCGATGCCATCAACCTTGTCGTTAACACCGTCAGGGAAGCGATCTCAGGGACGAGATGGCTCGGGGGCTTAAAGAAGTACTGCCTAGTGGCAACATTGGACATCAAGAACGCCTTTAACTCAGCCAGGTGGGACTACATCATGAAGGCACTAGTAGAGTTCAACGTACCTGAATACGTGCGGAAGATCGCAGACAGCTATTTCACTGAAAGAGTTCTCAAATACGATACGGAGTGTGGACCCAAAGAGTACAGAGTCACTGGAGGGGTGCCTCAGGGCTCAGTGTTGGGTCCTCTCTTGTGGAACATCATGTACGATGGGCTCCTGAAACTGACTCTGCCACGCGATGTGAATCTCGTAGCATTTGTGGATGATGTAGCCGTAGTCATTGTGGGGAAAGATCTAGAGGATATTCAACTTGTTTTCGACATGACCTTCAGAGTGATTCGTCGCTGGATGGACACCGTAGGACGCAGTTGGCGGAGCACAAAACGGAGGCCGTGTTGATCACAAGCAGGAAACAAGTAGAGACTTTAACGCTGCAAGTCGGGGACTATGAACTCACTTCCCAGTCGTTCATTCGGTATTTAGGAGTGATGATCGACGCTCGACTGAATTTCAAACAGCAAGCAGAGCACGTGGCTGCCAAGGCCTCTGGAGTAAGAGCCACCTTGTCGCGGCTTATGCCGAATATAGGTGGTCCAAAGCAGAGGAGACGAGCATTACTGTCGTCGGTGATCACGTCGGTGCTCACGTACGGTATTGCCATTTGGGTTGATGCACTACAGTTACAGGAATCACGGCGGAAGGTTGCACCAGTCCACCGACTGAGTGCTCTGCGAGTTGCGAGTGCATACCGTACGGTATCCGAGGACGCAGTGTGCGTCATCGCCGGGATGCTTCCTATAGAAGTTCTGGCCGAGGAACGGAGATCTCTGTATCGACGAAGGAAATCGGAAGCACTGAGCGCAATAAAACTCAGCACGGAAGAGAGGCGTAAGAGTCTGCAATGATGGCAACTAAATTGGGACTTATCTACCAACGAGAGATGGACTTATCGCCTGATCCCACGGGTGGATATCTGGCAGAATTGCAATCATGGAGATGTCAATTATTATCTCACACAAATGCTGTCAGTACATGGGTGCTTTCGGGCTTATCTTCATAAATTCAAACATGAGGACTCCCCGAAGTGCCCTGTCGGCACAGGAGATGACGAAGATTCGCAACATGTGTTTTTCAAATGCCCCCGTTTTAGTGAGAGCCGGCGTTCTTGGAAATCAGCCCTGGAAAGGGAAGTCTTGCCTGAGAACCTGGTGTAAGCTATGCTATCATCGCAGGCAGCTTGGGACGCAACGAGCAACTTCGCGCAGAAGTCATGAAGGAACTCAGATAGACGGAGAACCTATTGGAACCTCCTACCCACGCACAACATCTTAGTAGGGTAGGGGGACGTCACATTAGGTGGAAAATGAGGGAGAGCAAATAGGTGAGACCTCCCTCGCGAAGTAATACTTAACGGTGGTGCCGCGAGGGAAAGTAAGGTCAACGAATTTCCGGGGTCAAGTGGTTTAGTGGGTGAGGGCCCCATACAGGGTGGCAGTAACCGTCATGTTACTGTCCACTATCGTGCGGTTAGGTATATTTGCCCCAAGACCTCGAAAAAAAAAAAATATATATATATACAGACATGTCTTCAAAAACGTTTCAGGATGATTCGAGAGGCCGAGAAATGTGGAGAAATCATGGAAATTCCAAATCCGATTTTCGGGGTCATTACAATAACTTCCACCCTTCGGGTCGGGAAGTTAATTATGTGACAGAATTTGTTTTTCCTTCTTAAAAATCGGCACATACATACACACATTTTCTAAAAACATCATATCTTCAAGTTTCATGACATTCTACATCATTTCCCGAAAAAATTAGAAGATTGTTAAAATGATTAAAAAATTAGAAAATTAGAAAATTAGAAAATCGATTATCACAAAGCTTGCATTCAGAAGCACAAGTAATAACCGAAATCCTGACGAGGCCTAAATTATTCAGCGTGTCAGGTTGCTATAATTTANCGAAAAAATTAGAAGATTGTTAAAATGATTAAAAAATTAGAAAATTAGAAAATTAGAAAATCGATTATCACAAAGCTTGCATTCAGAAGCACAAGTAATAACCGAAATCCTGACGAGGCCTAAATTATTCAGCGTGTCAGGTTGCTATAATTTAGTGTGTAGTTTTACGAGGAAGGAAGGGTAGTTCATCCGTCGATAAAACAATAGTTTGTCCATGTCCTAAGGAAGGGGTCTGCAATCGAAATTGTCGTGGGCAGTATTATCGGCTATAATTCTTGGCCATGGAGCAATTAACGTCCACAGAAATGGTGTAGATATAAGTCACTGGAGTTTTCCAGGGGTCTGTATCATGTTGTTGGGGGCAATTGAGTGTTCGGTAATTGAACGGACTGAAATTGGAGAGGTTGAACATGTTCGAGAGAACTTATTGAATCTTCATCTACAACTAAAATTTTCAACAGTTAATTGCCGAATTGTCTCAGGAATCTTTTCATTATCTTTGCTAATTCCGCTTGATGTCAAATAACACGGAAATTAATTGCCGCAAACATAGCCTTTGTGAATAACATGGGGCATTTTCTCAGCAAATTAGAGAGTTAGGAATGATTCTTTCTGGTGAAAACCACATTGCTTGATGATTTCTGATGCCTCGAATAATTTGACATAAATATTCCATAGAAACCTGACAATTGGTGGACGCTTTGAACTCTGGAAGATCATGAATTTTACCTGATTGTTCCCTCCATCCAACACAGAGAAAAAACGAGTTTTCATTTTCAGGGAGATGTTACTGACTTTGAGGAGTCTATCACCAATTATTGGTAATACTCGACTTTTTCACTGAAATCTGGTGATAGATACCTGAAAATTAGAGATATGCCTTAAAATCAGTGAGATAACTCTGAAAATCAGTGACAATGTCACTGGAATTTAGTGATACTGACACCGAAAAATTGTGGCAAACTCACTGAATTTCAAAACGTTGCACTCACTAAATTTTAAAATCACGAATCCCCAATAATCGAAGATAAATTCCTGGAAATCGGTGAGAGATTCCGGAAAATTACTCACACGTTCCTGAAAATCAAAACTTTTTTTCTCTATGAAATTTTGATCTATAGCTAGCTGTATATCTGATAAAGAGCACTAGTAATGCCGTTTCACCGGCGTTTTTTGGTAACTTTTCGGTGTTCGTGACCAACTTCTTAGCTCGTCTCTGAATTTTGAATTCAAACTACACCTTCAAATAGACAAATGACTTGCATCATTCAAAGTTAAAACATGTTAAAAATGTATATAATTAGATGTGGATTCCGGTCAATGGATGCAGCCTTTTCTTGATCTGGGTATAAATTTGGGACTATGATTCCACTTAATTCAAGTATGGTTATGACATCCAGTGGCAATTCAAAATTGAAAAAATTCGAATCCAAAAATTAATTTTCCTATAACTCCAAAACCGTTGAGACGATTTCACTGGAATTTGACTTAAGCCTTAGTCATACCGAACTGCATCGACAATGACGGCAGAAAGTCAATCTCATCGTTCTTCTAGGAGGAATAATGAAATTTGTGAAAAACGTGATTTTTCGACGTTTTTTCACTAGTTTTATCGGAAAATCTGAAGAACTGCTGAGACGATGTTGTTCAAAATGTAATCAGTTCTAAGTGACATGAGAACACATCGATTGCGTGAAAAAAATTTCAATCCAATTATTCATTTCAAAGAAATCGTTGACCAAAATATTGGTCACATACGCACACACACACACACACACACACACACACACACACAAATCCCGCAACAATCAGAACTCCATCGTACTAGCCAACAATGGAAAGTTCTGATGGTTTCACAAATCACCAGAGAAGAATTGATGGAAGCGTGCAATAGAGTGGGAAACACCAAGGCCCCTGGCTTAGATGGAATCCCCAATGTTGTGCTGAAATTAGCTGTCGACGCGATGCCGGAACTATTCCTGGACGTCTACAACGAGTGCCTCAGGGAAGGCATCTTCCCTGCCATGTGGAAGCAGCAGAGGTTAGTATTGCTTCCAAAAGGGAAGAAACCACCGGACGAACCCTCATTGTATCATGGCCTCTGCATGCTTGATACCGCTGGCAAGATTCTCGAGCGTATAGTCCATCAACGAATAGAAGCAGCAGCCGAACCGCTGCTAGCTGGAAATCAATATGGTTTCAGGAAAGGTCGATCTACGTTAGAAGCCATCAACCTTGTCGTCGATACTGCCAGCGAAGCGATCGCAGGGAAAAGATGGCTAAATGGGAAGAAGAAGTACTGTTTAGTAGCAACGCTGGACATAAAGAATGCCTTTAACTCAGCCGGATGGGACTGTATTATGAATGCTCTTGTGAAATTCAACGCACCAGGGTACTTACGAAGGATGGTCGACAGCTATTTTTCCGGGAGGATCCTTAAGTATGACACGGAGTATAGTCCCGAGCAGTATAAAGTTACGGGAGGGGTGCCGCAGGGCTCAGTACTAGGTCCCCTACTGTGGAATATCATGTACGACGGGCTACTGAAGCTGGAACTGCCGTGAGAGACTAAACTCGTTGCATTTGCAGATGACGTGGCTGTAGTCATCGTCGGAAAATATCTTGAGGAGATAAATTTTACCTTCGACAAGGCCTTCGAGATAATTCGACGCTGGATGGACTCAGCAGGTTTAAACCTGGCGGAGCATAAGACGGAAGCCGTGCTGATCACTAGCAGGAAGATAATTGAGACTATCACGCTGCAGGTCGGGTCTTGTGAAATTACCTCCCAGCCATTCATCCGATACCTGGGGGTGATGATCGATGCCCGACTCAACTTCAAGCAGCAAGCGGAGCACGTGGGTACCAAGACATTTGGGGTCAGATCCACTCTAGCACGCCTCATGCCCAACATTGGAGGTCCTAAAAAACGAAGACGAGCGCTGCTGTCGTCAGTGGTTACATCAGTGGTTACATATGGTATTTCCATTTGGGCTGACGTACTCCAGCTGCAAGAAGCTCGCCGTAAAATTGCACCTGTTTATCGGCTGAGTGCTCTCAGAGTTGCGAGTGCGTATCGGACGGTATCTGAGGATGCTGAGGACAGCCTGGGACGCAACGAACAACTTCGCGGCGGAAGTCGTAAAGGAGCTCAGAAACAAGGAACGCAAGAGCAAGGTTGCAGTATAGGTGAGAAATGTATTTGGAACCTCCTAATCACACACAATATCTTAGCAGGTTAGGGGGACGTACATTGAATGGAAATAGTGGAAGAGCAAACAGCTGAGAACCCCCCCCCCCGCGAAGTAATACTTCACGGTGGTGCCGCGAGGGAAATGGGAACGGACGATTAGAGGTAAAAAGAGGAAAACAGGGTTTTTACTGGGTAAAAATCTCAGATCTGGTTTTTAACATCACTTTACCAGAATCTTGTGAAGATTTTCCCAAACCTCTATAAAAAAAAACACACCCATCCAAAAACGTCATAGGATTTTTCCAGGGGTCATGAAACGTGGAAATATGATGAAATATTCACATTCGATTTTCGGGGTCATTACAATAGCTTCCTCCCTACGGGTTGGGAAGTTAAAAAATTCTTTCTCCCTTCTCATCGCACCCTTAACTATCCGATTTAGGGTCAGATGGATCAGAAAAAAATTCCCCTCACCCCTTGGATACTCCACAATCCGCTTTGGGGTCTGAAGGGTCAGAACAAGAAGTCCCCCCCTCAGATTCTTTGCTATTCGATTTAGGGTCAGAAGGGTCGGAAAAAAAATTTCCCGCCATGTTTGGACTTCCCACAATATGATTTAGGGTGGGAAGGGTCAAAAAAATGCCCCCCCCCCGTAGACTTCTCGCAATGCAATTGAAGGTCAGAGGGTCAGGGAAAATTAACCACCCCCCCCTTGGACTTACGACAATGTAATAGAGGGTCAAAAGGATCAGGAAAAATACCTCCCTCCCCTCGCATGCTTCGCAATTCGATTTAGGGTCAGAAGGGTAAAAAAAATCCACCCCCCGCCCCTGAGGACTTCCTACAATGCGATTAAGGATCAGAAAAATAATTCCCCTCACCCCTCGCACCGTCATCAAAGAACCAAAGATTCGACCCCCCCGTGCGTCCTCTGAGAATGACACATCAAAAATCAATTTTTTGATTGATCATTAAAAAATTAATTCAAAAAATCGGCCGATGCTATCCCACTGTCGACTCATTCGGCAGGCGGCTAGCCTGTGACTGCTGCTCTGCTGCTGACTTGACCGACCTACTCGGTAATTCGGCGCTGCTGCCATCTCGCGGAATCCCCCCCACACGATGTTCTAGTCGCATTAAGTACACTAGCAGTAATTTCTTCAAATTCATCAAAAAAACTCAATTAATGAGTGATAACTGACACTAATCTTCTGATAATTAACTTCCCAATCGTTATTCCACTTTATTTCGATCATTTTCATGCTTTTTAGGTCCAAAAATTCACATCTACACACATCTACGGAACATCTACGATATACCCTAGATGTAACGTGTTCCATAAATCTCCAGGGTGGCTCAAAAGCGTTGAGGTTGATAAATTTAGTGCTTTTTGTTCTGCATGTAATACAGCGATTAGTACCGGAAAAAACAGAGGTACTGAGATATGCAAATTCTGAGAGACATCGCGAAAATATCATCAAGCCAAACATCATCCAGTGTCACAAAACTGTCAATGAGCCCGGAGCTCAGACTAGTTCCGGTAGTATAATGTCAGAACACGACAAATCGGTAAAGACTGCGGAAATTCTTCTATCCAATTACATTGCAGAAAACAATGTAGCGATTAGTTCGATAGATGATTTAACTCCGGTTCTGAAGAGAGCATTTCCTGATAGTAAAATCGCCAGTGATTTGTCTTTGGGGCGTACCAAGTGCACAAGTGTAATAAAAAATGTTCTTGTTCGTGTCGCTAACGACACTCTTCTTGAAATTTTAAAAGAGAATGAATTTGCGATTCTAGTAGATGAAACGACTGATATTTCGAAGACGAAAATTCTTTGTGTTCTCGCATGTTATGTTTCACCCGTAGATAAGAAAGTAAAAACAAAATTATTAGACTTTAAAGGTTAGACTTTAATTAGACTTTAAAGTTGAATTAAATGCAACTGACGGTTCTGCTGAAAAAATTTACATTTCTTTTAAAAAATCATTAGACGATAAAGGAATTCCAATAGCAAATATCAAAGGTTTGGCCTCTGATAATACTAATGTAATGCTGGGTGACAAGAATTCCTTTGCAAGTAGATTAAAAAATTAGAAGTACCGGGACTTGTGGTTTTGAATTGCATTTGTCATTCGTCTGCTATTGTTGCGTTAAAGGCATGTGCAAAATTGCCGAAAGAACCTGAAGAATTGATTAGAGATGTATCGAGGTATTTTTGCAACAGTACAAAGCGTTCTGCGATTTTACAAGAACCCGACTAGAAATTTCAAGAAGGATCACATAAGGTCATTATACGGCTGCCGTATTTCAAACCAACGGCCCTCATCCGACAGATGTAGTGGTGGTCCACTTAGCCCGGACCAGTTGAACGAGGATTAATGACGTGAACGAACAAGGCGTCCACCTTCCCAATCTTTGGCTGCGTTGAGCACACCTTGTAATGTGTCATTGAATAATTTGTCATCGATTTTCTCACCTAGAATCCTTCGATGGACCACTGAAACAATAATGCATACGCTTAAATGGTCAATATATAAAATTCACTCAAGGTAACTATTATAAATATTACAGAAGTTCGCAATTTTCATTCATTTTCAGACATTTGGCCGTCTCTAAGACGCAATTAGTGGGTTATCCGCCCTGAAAATGATCCAAAAAGAGAGCGAGGGAACTTGGATGCTTGCCACGTGGCTATCCTACCGGAAGGGTGGGTTTCAAACCGGAAGTGGAGGTTTGCTCCCTTGAAATCGGCCGATTTTGGTGTCAAACGACTCAGAATCTGATACGGAGCCAATTATTTAACCTTAGAGAGTAGAAATTGAGTTTATTTATTGTGGATTCCAACCATAAAAAATTTTTAAGGTAACAATCAGGATAGCGTCCCCATGCCCAACCGGAATTCCACAATTAACGAACGTTCAAGGTAGCATAGAACACGTAGAAATTACATAAAAGATATTTCACGGCGTCTGATTTTTCTCCTAAAACTCTTAGGAGAAGACGAGACTGCGGAAAGATAGGTAGCAAGTAGCAATTTTTAGCGAAAATAAGCGAATCTGGAGAGCAAGCAGACAAGTAGCCAGAGAATAGATAGCACGTGGCAATGACCGCCGTAACGAGACCCCTAAAATCACTAATTTTTACCATAATCCCTACTTCAGGTAGCATGATTAACATTTAGGTAAATTCAGGTAGCTTCCAGAGAGTATTTGGGTTCGTTTGAAGGGTTTTCTACCCTTCAAACCATGAGTATCGGTGTTGGCGTCATTCCGAGAGGTAGCGACGCCATCCCACGCGGTCCAATTTCCTTTCCAAGAAAACGCACTAATTCACTTTTAAACACCTCTAAATAAGTACACGAGTACTTACCCTAGTCTGGAGCGTTGATTTCAACGGAATTTTGGTCACGGGGCCTCGATAATTACCTCAAAAAGGAGTTCGTTCATGGAGTTGCTCGACTCGTACCTCACTTTTCTCGTCCGGATCGATACTCTAATGGCGACTCTCGCGTGTGTCCGCTCGGGCCTGTTGCGTAGTGGTGGGGAGTCTGGGGGAGACTAGCCCCGTACGGTGCTGAGTCGAGTATTGGAGATGCGAACTATCGATTCCCGGGGTGATGGTGCGCGAAATAGTTGAAGATTTAAATTTTAATTTCTCATATAATTGATTCTAATTATTTTAACTGAACACAACTGTAGTTACTGGAACTCAACACTAAACTTAGATGGCTGAGCGGGTCTTCACTCCATCTACGACCGGAATAAGGTAGCTTATCTACAGAGGGCACTTTCCGGAGAGGAATTAGGACTTTACCAACGAAAACTCAAACGCAAACGCAACTTAACTAAATTAAAAACCCAATGGCGATCCGTTTCGACGACTGGGTGATCGTCTCCACGACCTTCCAACTGAAAGCCCTAACACTCTCGCTCAAGGGAGCGCAAACATTTCAACTCGACCTATATATTCACTCTATCGACAAACCAGAAAGGGTTACAGGAAACACTGGGTAGCACATTATCTTGGCCAAACATTCCACGGTGATATCCTGATCCTTAACCGAATTTACGTAGGAAAATCTCAAAATTACTAAATTCTAATTCAACAAAACCGACTCGAGAAAAGAAATATCTGCAAAATATCTGGTTTATTTAATGAAGTTATTTAACGAATATTATTCTAAAATTGTTGGGAATCGATTCACGCGATAGGTAACCAATTTAAGTAAGTTTTCCGGACTTAAGGTAGCTCTGAAGTAGAGTTAAGGTAGCAGGTAGCTCAGGTTTTAGATATCGGATTTTACTGTAAGGAGAAGGTAGCTGTTTTACCGAATCCGAGATTCTCTCTCTCTCTCTTTCTCTCTCTCTCTCTCGTTCAATTTTATAAATACCCTGGAGTGATACAGGTGACTAAATGGCCTGGAATTTCGTCACACATTTTTCCGGAAGTCTCATCACTGAGATAATCCAAGAATCAGTAGGCGAAAATCCTGTTTCACTTGAGCCAGTTTTCACTACTTGTTTATTGTTGGATTATCTCCTCGATGATCGATTCCAGGAGAAAGAGTTAAAAGACGTTGTTTGGTGAATGACTACATTTAGGGTGGATGTGGGATGAAAATGTGGAGGGAGATGTTGGGAAAATTACTGTTGAGCCGGATTTAAAATATCACACTTTATTATGTGGGATCAAACCACTTTGTCAAAACTATTTACACTCTTTGGTAATTTAATTGTTGAATCTCTAATTACACTGATAATTGTCTTTCACTGTTAATTCGTTGAGTCACTGAATTTAGACTGAATTTAATCAATAGAGGTGATTACCTGAAAAAAACGGTGATCTTACAAAGACCGGTGATGTACTTGATTACTAGTGAGCTAGGTGAGGTTCGAGAAGCTACTGTACTCGGTGAAGTGCGATATAAAACTTGTACAGGTGATTTGCCCGAGATAGACTTGTACGGTGAGAGGCTAAGCCTAAACTGACCCGCGTGTGTTTCGGCGACTTACGACCGATGACCCGAAGGGTCCCGGAGATTTTCGAAGTAAGCCGATGGTCGACCAGAATGTTCTGGAATTTTAGTTGCGTTTCAAACAGACGTTTTTAGTAGAATTGAATTTCCCAGGAAAAATGTATTCTAACATCTTTTGATAAACCCCGTGCTTTCCGACATATTCGCAAGATGATATTCCCCAAATTGTTGGATTCATCGAGTTTCACCTCTTTTTTACCAGAACAATTGTAGAATTAGTTTTCTCGAACTAAAATAATCAACTAGAACATCTCCTGGATTTTTTTTTTAGTGGACAAATTTTTATCAATGATGTTCCAAACTTTTGGCTGATAAAAAATCATTCTTTTCTTCATTGATTTGTGAGCATTGGGAATTTAGAGAAAGTGAATAAATTTTTTGTTTATTATTGAAAGTAATTCGAAGGAAAAAGTGAATTTATATGTGAGAAGATGATTGAAGGTGGGATTTTATTTGCAATCTCTGAATTGTATCAATTTGACATTTTTTAAATTTTTATTTATGGCTTTCGCACTCTTCATGATGTTTCATGAATCAATTCCCATTTTAATTAGGTCAATTCCATTTCATGAAACCCCTCGTTTTTCAACTACTCAAAATTTCTCGAGTTGATAAATAGAAATCAACATCTACAAGAATCGATGAAAGTTCAATTTTAAAAAATTTGTTTCAGTTGAAAAATGATTTCACATGCTAGATGAGTTCATCAATTAATCGCGTACCGAATAATCAACGTTGCGATCGTGTTCACATAGACAAAAAATAAGCATTGAAAAACGAATTAATGAGTATCACTTCAAATTAATTAAAGAAACTAAGGCCCCCATATATTTTCAAGGGAGACATTTTTCCACCCATTCATTAATTATTAATAATTTCCTGAGTTTTTAAAGTACAAAATAAATTGAATATTGAGTTCTTACATGTTGACATGAAGATTCACGATTCGAGTCTTACATTACTGCACTAAAATTGATTATTCGTGCACAGAAATTAATAAACATATTGTTGATGAATGACCAACAATTATTTGGTGAGGCGAATGACTACGAAATTGAAAAATGGATGCAATGAGGAATAAAAATGGATGATAAAAGGAAAAATATTACGAGGAAAGATTCTACTGCCATCTGGAGCATTGATCAAAGTAATTATCAGCTAAATGACATTATTGAAATGTTGAACAAAGAAATGGATGCTAGACTTACCACTTTTCTCAAGTAGTCTGACTTCTTGAGTTCTGCATCAAAAATATAAAACTCTTCTTTGGTTTTCACTGGTATGGTGAAATTCTCACCATTCAAATCCTCCTCCTCGATATCAATTTCCTGTTGAGGATTATTCTGACAGACATCTCTCAATTCAACAATACGACCATTCTTTTCCACTTGGCCACCACGAAGACGATCCATTTGAGCAGATAGACTATTATGAATTTCACGGAGACCATCACGAAGGACAGCGAAACCTAAAGGAGAAATATTATTTCAATTAAGAAAATTGAGGAGAGAAAACTGCATAAAAGTTGCCATATTTCAATGTTTCAACACAAATAGATACCTTCTTTCATCATCTGAGTCCCTCTTGTGCAGGTGATTTATTTGAGTGCTCTGGACTTTTGGAGTTGTCGATACGCTCTTCTGATTGAGACCGTCGTGATTTGTCTCTTCTCACGTTGTCTCTAAGGGCCTCTGCTGAGAGGGAGTGACGCACTTTGCTTGGAGTAAATTTGGCATTGTCAGTCTGCTGCGAGGAAACTGATCCACCGGAAATCGTATGAGCGTTGGTTGCTGATTTTTTCTTACGTGAACGAGATGTTCTGTCATCAGCTGATCGCTTGTTACTGGGAGATTTGATTTCATCACCAGATGACGAAGAAGAAGATAATATGCGACGTCTTTTAGGAGTTGGTGAGATAGTCGCGTCGAGTGCTGAGTTTGGTCGCTTCCTTTGAGTGCCGACTAATCGGGATGACGAACTTTAGAAACTTGAGGCAGATTTTGCTAGACCTTGTTTTGCAGGCAGCTTCTTCACTGGCTCTGTGTCATCATCATTAGAT